TATCGCCAGTCGAGAGTGGAATGCCTGTTGACAGAAGCTTAAGAAAATCGAAGAAAAAAATAAAACAGAATGTGAATGGTATGTAAACGAAGGAACAATCAAGTCTAAGACAATTGGTTGACATTTTGCAAATGAATTACTTACTAAATGGATCTCCGATTTTACCAAGATACTCTGTGATGTTAATTTTTATGGATTGTTCGTGATATTTGGATAGTTATGATTTTCGGAATTCATGAACAAGAGAGATGTATTGTTTATCAGCATTATCATTATCTTCAAATAAAAAAGAGTAGCCTGATAATTTAGGTCTTCCAACTTATTTAAATTGTCTTAAATAGAGCAAGAACAAAGATTGGTGCAGAATAATATGAATTCATTTTATTTCGTTAGGTTCTCATCAGCTGCTTACAACCTAAATTATTTGAAAATTCAACATTATTACAGATATTGACATATTTATATATAAGAGTGTGATGAAGGATCAATACATGTGTATGATGATGTAGCGAATATTCAGATAGAGTTAATGAGCTCATAAAATGTTTGATTCGAATAAATAAATAAAGTTTGAGAGGGAAAGTTCCAGAACATTGAAATAGTGATAAGAACTCATGAAAATAGATTAATGGTAACAAAGAAAATATGAATTGAAATCAATCAGTTATGTATGATGTAATTTATATTTCAGAAAGAGTTGCAATAATGACGTAATAAATAAATAAATAGGAGCAAATTAATAGAAAGAGTGGGGGTTATTGGTACCAAGGTAAAGAAAGATTTATTACTGTCTCTTTTTTTATACATAGATCTGGTTTTAAGCGTTTGATTGCTAACGCTTCAGCGAATTTCAAAAGGTTCGAGTTTAATTGTTTGTTAATCACCTTGAAGGACTTCAGTATATCAGCTTTATGTCCTGTATCAAGGAGATGTCTTGCGATAGCCGTCGGAAAGTGTAATTTGTTCTGAATTCATTTTCAATACAACTTTGAGAACTACTACATGATCTCAATAAAAAAACTTATTAATCTCCACAACCCCTATACTGACCATGCGAATAGACATTCAAAAATGAGATATATGTATTACATTTTATTGCCCTAATATAATAGAGAACGTTTGTTGACTGAGTGGCTGATGTTAGCATTGTAATGCCTTTTAATATAAATGTATATATATAAACAGCTAAAATGACTTGTATTAGGGCTTAAGTTTCCTTGGTCTGATATATCAATCTAAATGCATTTCTGAGTCGTGTAGTATAAATTTCGTTTTGTTGCGAATAAAGGAATGTTATAAGTGTTTTTTTTTAAATATGACACATAAATACAGGATTTTTTTATAACATTAGTTGAGCTTGATAAACCTTGAATAGTTAGTGCTGAATATATAATTCAATTGACCTGTATATTCAATAGGACTGTGAGCTTATTAATTAGAATGAATTCAAGGAACCTTGAGTATGAGAAGTGACAATCACATTTCAGTTGATAATTATTTAGTCAGATAAATTTATGTTTTGATAAATAGTGGGGAAAACGACATGTACTTTGAATAAATTTTGCTTCATTGAACCTGAGGCTGTCAGTAAGGACGGTTTGAGAATATTTCTATTGAATCCATCGCTCCAGTATTTTAGTCCTTTTCGTCATTACATTTAGTGTTTGAAGTGAGTTCAAGTTTGATCACTCTTGTTAGATCTTGAATAATCCAAGATGAATGTCTTGAGCTGTCAAAAAATATCTTGCCGTTTTATATTAGCTATCTAATTTAATTATTAATTCAAGTTCATTACCAGCTGAAGATTTAATCGAAAAAAACTGCTAACTGTTCACAATATTTATATTTTGATATGTGAATTTGTAAACAACTGATAAAAACTATCAAAAACTACTATTGTAGCGAATGAGAGCACAGGTAGGGACAACCAAATCTGTTTTAACTTATCATTATTGAATATCTTGATAAAACCTGAGATTCATAAAGTAAACATTTCATTTACAAAATATCAACCAATTGTCTCAGACTTGATTGTCTCTTCGTTTCCATACCAATCACTTTCTGTTCTCGTTCTCTTTTCTTTAATCTTTTTAACCATGTACCGCCAGGCATTTCACTTTCGTTAGGTGATACATACTACTTATATCTGTCGATATCAGTAACAAACACCACACTATGATCATTCCTGAAACAAATACCTAAATATAATTTATACTGATTATTAATAAATTAATTTTATTTTTTTTGGGGGGGGGAAACATTATTTTTATAAATATTATTGTTTATATCTACAAACTAAATCTAAAACTAATTTCAATGGTTGAGATCATGAGTCAATTGAAGCTAGACCATCATGGAAAACCTGAAAGCACTGGATGGCCATTTCATCATATTGTGGAACACTTCAGCAGTGCGCATCCACGATTACGCCTCGTGAGATATCGAACCCAGAACTTATCAGTCTTGCGCGCAAGCGCTTAACCACTAGATCACTGACTCATGATCTTAACCATTAAATTTACTACAATCTCTAACGAAATCCCTTCTGATGCTAAAACGAATTGTTCATCCAAAATAAATTTATAAATGAAAGGTAAAAATTTATTCAATTTAATTGTTTATTCATTTAAAATTATTTTCCTTTAATTCCATTTCATCTTTTTATAAAACAATAATTTCATAATAAAAACAAAAACTAAAACAGTAATTTATTGTGATCATTGCCAAGATTTGGCTGGATTAGTTGAATACAAATAATCTAATTGATAGGATGATAATGACGTAAGCATTGAGAAAAAAAATCGATTTGTTTTCCATTTATTGATTTATACTATAAGAAAATTGGTTTCTTTTTTTGTTTTTTAAATTACAGTAGTAATCTTGAATTAATGATTTGATAGTTGTAACAAAATTAGAGAAAATGTATTTTTGGTTTTTATTTATTATTTTTGTATTCAGATACTATAACCTAGATTGTATGACAATTAATCAATTAAGAAGCAATATACATTCATATGTACTAAATACTGATGATTCTTTTTTGGTATGATGTATGGTGTACAGGATAAAAAAGGTGTTGTAGTAGCTGTGCTTCGTTGACCAATCACCCTCGTAACCGTTATCATATAATCCCTCAACGGTGTTTGAAATCTGAAGGCAAAGAGAAGCAGCGACTACAGGTTTATTAGCAGATAACTCAGAACAAAAAGCAGAGAGGCATATGAGTGAGTCAGCGAATCAAAAGAATAGAGGGTGTAGGTTTAAATATATATATATATATATATATATATATATATATATATATATATATATATATATATATATATATATATATATATATATATAGGGAAATAAATGGATCATCGAATCAATTAAGCGATTAATGAAAAAGCTAGCTGAATGAATATATGCGTAGGCGGTAAAGCAATGTTCAAGCATACATATTTCATACAAGGACAACAATAATAAAGGTACAAGAAGTTGTTATAGTTCGGATGACTCTGTCCGCTGAATGGGTTAACAAAATGGCTTGACCGAATTAAATGAGAACAAACTCGATTGAGAGTGAGGTGTTTGTGACGAAACTAAATGAATGTGCTCTTTCGAATAAGCTTTCTTTAAAATCCTAGATATATTTTATAAGTAGTTATGTTTGGTTGTTAACGTAACGTTTCACAATGATTAGATGTTATTTAACTCGTTTTATGAAATTTAAATAGATGGAATTAAAGATAGTTCCTCATGCAAGCTGATAACATCAGGTGAATTATTTAAAATAAGGGAGAACATATTGTAACATGATCGTACTTTACGATTCTATAGGAGGACACATATATGGTCCCACATAGGGTCAAACGTAAAACGTTCACTTATTGTTGTGAATAAGCTATCTCAAACAAGAGAATTTATATCTACTAGTTAGAAATTCTGGTTCCTTTAATTTTACTGACTCTTCACTCATTCTCAATATATAACAAAAATTATATTTAAATCAAACTTATGTCCAAAGACTATACAATCAAACTATTCAAGCTAAGTTTTGTTATTTAAAGCTTGCAGTCAACTGGTAGGTTGAACACTTCCTCTGTCATATATATATGGCTATTAGTTTTTAATTTCTAATTAAGGATTCGTAATACTTCATCATTGTAATCAATCTAACATTTTAGTTGGCATTCAATTAAACCTGTACGTAAAACTAAATAATCGAACATATATTTGATAATTTAATTCGAATACATCTCAATCGATTTAAAAGCCTTTTAACACTGTTTAACTCTTATATTTTCTAATGAATGAACATAAACTTTAATAGTTTACTCGGTGGTTATGTTAGTACGCAGTGTAAAACTGTTTTGGTATGTGCTGCTAATGTTGATAGATATAAGTAATATGTTTTATCAGTCGAAAATGAAATACTTGAATGTGGAAGATTAAGAAGATCCAAGTGAAGAGAACGAGAATAGAAAGTGATTGGTGTAAAAAAGAAGAATCAGTCAAGTTTAGGACAGTTGATTGACATTTTACAAATGAAGTATTTACTGTATGGTTCTCAGATTTTACTAAGAGATTCTGTAATTTCGTGTTCAATTATATTCGATTGTCCCCAATTGTGTTCTTGTTCACTACACTGCTATTTTACAAGATTACAGATACAAAAATGGTTTTGGGTTTAAAAATACAATATATACATAAATAAATTATTTAACCTTATTTACAAAAATTCTATTGAATGAAGTAGCTATGGTTTATACTTACATTTTAAATGTCAATTAAAATCAATGTTTTACTTTGGCGTAATTTCAATTGCAACCCAGGAAAGAGTTCGATGGCGAATCCTGGCGGGGAGCTTATGCTACTCAACGAAGGGTAATAGGCGTAAGTAATTTTAGTGCTAGCACAGAATTGATCATAATTGAAAATCCCTTTCTTTTCTACTAATTTTAACCCAAAAAGTGATCGTTGAATTATAAATTTCTTTCTTTCTTTTATTTAAATAGAAATCTTGGCAGCACTGGACTTCGGGTATCTGTACTTAGTTTAGGTAAGTGTTTGTTTATTTTGATATAATTTTACGTTGATAAGTTAGTATAATATTAGTACTGTGTTTTAGCAATGGAAAGGTTATAAACCTCTGTAGCTTGTAGCTTTTTTATTTAGTATTCAGTACATTTCTATTTTCATACCTCACTTGTTTATTTAATAAATGGAGCAAATACATGAGAAATTAGGTACTACAATAATTGAGATAAATAATCCTTTTCATCATGGGGGTTTATGGACATTGTTAATTGTTATTGAGATTGAAAATCGACCTTCATTAGACAATCATTGAATCTAGCAATTGCTGTTTCACGAAACATGAAATTATAAATGCTCACAAATGGATAGCCCTATATCAGAACGAACTATCCAGGGCTTCTTGGTTCCAATGGTTATCAAACTTTCGTCATTTTGTGGTCACAGTGAACTAGGCAATAGTTGAATTAAATATGGTCTGTAATATTTAATTTTAAAAAGCAAATAATAATAGTTTAATTGTCAGATTAAAGGCCGATAGTTTATAATAATAATAATGATCAGATTTTAATAAATGAAATGAGTTAATGTAGAACTCCAATGTCAGGAAAGAAAGTATACGAAGACTGGGTTATTATTTAGTTAGAATTTAAATCTCTTCATCAGTGTGTGGTCACCACTGTTCACAGTGTTATCTTCATAAATTATAGAAAACATAATACCACAGTTGGAATTAGATGATCCATGTTTATAATGTCATGAAATGAAGTATTCATCTGAACTTCACTTGTTAATAAACTGTTGCATTTCTGACTTGTTGACATCACAGATGTTAACATCACTCATAGTAAGTATTTAATTAGTATGTCTTAATTAATATATACCGGTCAAATTTTATCTGAATGTGGATACAATATACAGGATAATTTTTAATGTAGAATGTGATAGATGATAGAATAACATGTTGATTTGGGGTGACATAAGAATAATATAAACATTGATATAAAGTCTAGCATACTAATTTATTGTAACTATTGTTACTAAGCGAAATCCGATTATAAACAACTTTACCTGTTTGATCATATTGACTCAGTAACCTTGATAATAGTTGGACATATACCTGTTTTATACGAACTGTATATCTGACTTCAATACATTGAATATGTATATATAAATATCTATGTGCATTTATATACTTTTTTTCTATTACTGATCTCGAAGACCTACAGAGAATCAAAATTCAGTTAATTGTAAACTGTAGAACTGACTCACTTTTAGATGTACGGGTCATCTTTCTCAGCTCATATTCATGATTTTAAAAGTTTGTTCTTCTGCATTGTTTGTTTTTGGAATCGTAAAAGTATCATTAAAGTGTGTCTTTTAAATATGTTTGGATTTCATATTTCAGATTATCCTTGCTTTAAGCCATTGCATCACTTTTGCGGTTTTCATAGGAGTTATTATATTATTTATACCGATTTAAAAATCAAACTGAATGTTGGTTGAACGATGTAAATTTATGAACTCCATGGCTTTCAAGATGCTTATTTTATTATCATCATCATTATTAATATTATTATTATTATTGGCTTTTCAAGAGTTATATTTTTGGTACAGTAAAGAATTTAACAAGATTCCTTTTTTTACTTGTTGATCGACCCTTGCGGTAAATATTGAGTGATCGGCAGTTAGATGTTAGCAATTCAGGAATCGACATCTCGAAAATGTTTATTTTTTTCGATTCATATTGCCAGCAACCACAACATCTCTGATTGGACTTTTTTGTAACTTGTACAGTGAAATGTCGTAAACTTCTCACAAACGCACCTGAATAGGTTATGTGACTAATAGGCATAATGATGTATTGAAACAAACAAGAAAACAGATAACTTGTTGAAATATCCAAATGACAGGAACAAATAGCCCAGATATTCAAGCAGGTCGCATTGTTTACTATTCTATGATCAATTTTTCTTAAGCAATATCCAGTTAGATTCTAATTAGAGTTAGATCAATTAATGTAAAAACAAACTATACCATTTATGATATTGGCTATTTAAAAAGTTTATTTCTAAAATGAAACTGATCCATTTCTATTTATAATTTGCTAAGGATTTATTTTCCAGATTTGGTTGAATGAATTTTGCTTTCTTGATATTCATGATGGATTTCATGAACTTGATTATACTTCTATCTAACTTTCATTATAGTCAGAATGAGTTGTTGTTTTTGTTATTGCTGTTTTCCTTTTCTTTTTGATAATCATATTCTTGCATAAATATACCGTATGTTTACATTTGTAAACAGAAGAATTTTAATGAATTCTTTTCGTCTATATAGTAGGACAGAAGTATATACAGATAAAAGAAGTTATACTTTAGTCTTCCATTATCAAATTCTATAAAAGACATAATACTGTAATGGAAATAATAAGTTATTTTGTATACGGACTAATTAGTATCAATTTTAGTAGGTTAGATAAGATTAAAGTTTAATAAATCTGTATGTAAACAATTAGCAAGAACATATTACGTACACAAAGAAACCTCCTAACAATCCTGTAGAATTGGATTAACTTCAAATTAAATCGGCAATAGCAGTTCATGCCATTTTCAACAACCACCGAATTGATTTTAAAAATATCAAAATATTGCCAAAAGGCTTTTCCAATTACAAAGAAAGGAGAGTAGCTGAAGCGTTCCATATAATGCTTAATCCTACTTCTCGCAATCGAAAAGAAGACCTTACCATACATCCTACTTGGACAATCTATCCTAGCCATCCAGTCTGATCATATTTACAATTCACACTACCATATAACAAATTAAACTCTATCTTTTCTCACCATAAGGGTCACACAATTTTTTCGTTCTTAAACAATGCACACATACTTACACATAAATTTACATACATATCACTTATGAATCTCCTTGACAGAAATGACATGACATTAACTTGTTCAGACCTGTTTTTGATTGATCAAATATTATTCTTATTGCTACGTTGTACTATTTAAACTTGGATTAATTTTAATTTGGCTATTTATTCTCTGAAGAAGTGAATTAAACTAAGTCACGAAACGCCAGAAAATCTAATTTTCTACTCATTGGGATATTACAAATATACTATTTATTTATAATTAGCAAAGAGTTTAAGCCATGAAAACCGCTTACTTTGCATTATAACTAATAATCATGTGTAATAATTAATCATCTTAATGATTACGTTCTTGCGTATAAATCAAACATACTACTTTTTAAATCAGTATTGAATATTATGGTACCATGTTTTTTTAACGTATTGTCATGAATCAGTCAAACGTGAAAGTGTAAGTAGTAGAGTGTTTGTTTGTTTATAGAAAATAGGAAATACACATACATCTCATGATTTGTTAAATAACAGTTTTTGATTACCTGAATCCCTAAAATCTGTCAAGAATAAGACTTTTTTCAATGTTAGTTATGTTTTCATTTTAATTAGCTTTATTCACTAACGAAGATTTGGAGTTAAGAGAATTCATTGTAACAAGCCATAAAACTCATGATTTGTTATTTATATTTCGTCTGAGATTCGTTAGTTGAGTGAATATGAATTTCATTGAGTGTTAATGTCTCTTATATAAGATTCAAATCAGTGAGGTATCAATCAAATCCAAGATGATCATGACAAATAGAGATGATGTACATACTAAAATAGATTAACTTTTTCAATCCTAGAACTATCGATTAAAAAAATAAATGTTGATAACACACAGTATCATCATTAAGTTATTTAAACTTCTTAACTTATATAATTTCTAATCAAAGAGTGTAATAAAACATAAGACGAATAAAAGTTAGAACGTATTTCACAGCACCTTTCTTCAGGGTTGATATTCTACGTTACTTTCAACACACGATCCTGTACAAAAGAACATGAAATTTCATAGACACTAGTTTACATTATAAGATCGTAATCTATCAGTCTCCTTCTTTCACCATGTTAGTTTCGCTGAAATCATTTTAATCTTTTTAAATGATATGTAATTTTCGTCAAAAGGAATTTATTGTCCTATAATCATTCTTACTAGTTTATAGATAAAAGTAGGTCAACCCTTTGTCCTACAATCGCAGGAAACCGCTACGTATCGAAAGTGTGAACCCTTTTTAGAGGGAGGCTCCTGTAGTGACCTACTTTTATCAAGAGAACGCGATTGGTATAATGGAAACTATTATTATTATAACCAATTGTACCAGCGATTTTTTTACCGTACTTGTTTGTTTAATTGTACCGAAATACATGCATTCTTCCACTGCTTGTAGCCTTGCACGAATTCGGTTACGCTCAGTAACCACATTTGTAACCTGGCATGATCTCGGTATCTTTACGATATCACGAGATCGCTAACAACTACATCTCGACTACAACCATCAACTCTCTCCTGATATTTGGCTTACAGGGGATCTTGTCGGTTAATTGGCACATAGTCTTCCTGTAATGATGATCATAGTCAATCGTGACTCGACGCCACAATACATTAGCAGATTCAGTTTTTAGGCTTAATTAAGGTGTAATAAAAAATGGATTTGATATAACTATATAGATTGAAAGAGAACAATCAACATGATTTGAACCAAAGTAATTTAATATCCTTCGCCTAGTTTACATGTGTAAACAAACAAGTAAATAAATTTGGTTAAAGTATATCTTATTACCAGGAATTTTCATGTCATTAAATTGCATTGTGTCATATTGCAATTCAATAGTTTCATTAGACCGTTTTCAGTATTAAAAACTAAACAAACTATTCTAATAGCGATTGATTTATAAGCTATCTGAACTCTGTAATGATTCTACAGTTATTAGATCATGTATCTCTGATGTTATATTAGTTACGTTATATGAATTTGTATAGGGTTTTGTTTTAGTATCTATGACTTTTCAACTCGAGGTTAGTGGAAAAAAATTAGTCACAACTAGCAGAAGAATGTCGAGTATCTGATGTAATATCTTATGTTATATCATATGTATTTTTTATATGAGATCGAGCCAGAGGAGTGGTACTACAACCTGAAATCCTCTTTTGAATTACTTTTGGATGAAAATCAAGTAACGTTTATATATGATTACAAAAATATCAGTTAAGAATCTGTGTTTTTTTATGATGTAAATGTTATGTCTTGTCGATCGAACGCTACTTGTTATATCCTAGTGAAGATTACATTACGAGTAACTTCTGGGACCTATTAATGGACTAATATTATTTATACATTCTTAGGATATAAATATTCAGTAACTATATATCTATATTCCTCTTATTATAAGCTTCATTTTGACCTATAGATTGTTATTATACGATTTACTGTTCTTAAGTTATACTCAGTTCATTAATTACTGTCTCCCACGTTCACAGCCACCTTTTGGCTTTATTGTGTATGAATGTTATTTCCTATTTTATAGTGTGTTGCGGTCTGTTAAGTTGATATATAAACCCAGTATGTCTGCAATAAATGGTTCGGTTCGCATAGCGGAGGCTGTTGTCGGCATTAACTAACTATCACATATAATAATATATACTCTGTATGTTTGAGTAGAAAACAGTTTATCGGTTTGATCAAATAGTTTACCATGATAGTAGATTATTATATGAATGTAGTTTAGAATCAAGTCTTTATGTTTAAGGAAAACATTGAGAAAGATTTCGTTTTGTTTTCTTCCAACAGTTACAAAACAATGTCAAAATAAGCATCTACCATCCTCTATTGCCAAACACATAATCGAAATAAGTCATAATACAGATCTTAACACATCTTTTGTGGCGTTGTATAAAAGTGTAAAATGGCGTACACAATGATTTATTGAAGTTTTAGCCATACGAAAATTCAAACCTCCTTTGTGTATTTAAAACCAGTTTGTTCTCACCTTAAACCTACCCTGGTAATATTAGATTGCTATCCAGAGCGACTAGATCTTAAATTGTTTTCATATTATTTCTTTATTATCCTTGTCTCCTCTTACCCTCCATTTCTAGTCTGGTTGACCCTTTATTTTTATATATAAATGTTCTTAACAAGTATATATGTGATCAGATTGTCCGAAATGTATTGCGCTAATATATCACATAGTTCTGATAATTGTTGTCTTCTTATTACATTATCGAAATTCACCAAAAGTATTAATTGCTTTAAGTGTCAAAATATTTTAAATTCATTTGGTGTTGTTTCACTTGTATCGTCCCATTGTTATTTAGGAGAGCAATTGATCAGTCTCTTGTTGGCATATGTGTATCCTATGCGGATATCCTCGATATAGCCTTGAGTCACAAGCTTTTTTTAACCAAAGATGGATCTTGGCTAGCAGTGGAATCCAGGACACGCGTTTCGTCCTCTTTGGGACAATGGAAAGATACACGTGAAACAACATCAAGTGAATTTAAACTTAACCCCATTGCACAAGCGAGTGGCTATCAGGACTCAGTAGCTAAGTGGATAACTCGACGTTTGAAGCGAGCGGTACTGGGTTCGAGTCCCGGGGTGAACATCAACTCTGTGATACAGGTGCATCCTGCTGACGAGTCTCAAATAGGACGAAATGTGTCCTGGGATCCAATGTTAGTTGCTATCCATCTTTGGTCAAATTATTTTGTCTTTCATTCACTTAGTATTTCAAATGATTGTCTTTCATTTCTATTTGTTTTGTTTATATATAGAAAGACAAAACAGTCATTAGCTTATATCAATATATTTTCTTCATATTAACATAATTGTGTTTTTTTCTTCTCCTACATATTTATCCACTTAATTTCATTGTATTTTAATTCCAGGTACAAATGTGACTTTCGGTAATCAAATACCGGATGAAGTAGGTGTTTTTAGACAGTTCATTTAATAAGTTTATTTTGATGATGATCTCTTAGGAATACGGTTACATTTTGTTTATTGATTAATTTTTAACAACCTAGGTATAGTTGTAGTTTTTTCTTTTGTGGGATTATGTTTTGGAAAACAATTACAGGTTGTTAAGTCACAGTAAGATATCGTTCATAAATTCAAAAAACTTATTATCATGCAATTATATATGCTAGTTATCACTCACAATCACTCACAACTACTCTTTCAATTTTTGTTGTGTTGTTGTAACCATCTAGTTTTGCATTATTTTGTAATTATAAGATATTGATAAAAGATGGTGTAGGGGGTTATTGCCAAAGAAAAAAAATTTATTTTTGCATATTGATCAGAAAACTAGTTTCTTATTTGTTTATGAGAGCATAAGACTATTAACTGAAGTTAAGTTTGAAGAAACTGATTAAGTTTATATTTCTATTACATTAATTTGTCTATTGATACATTAAATAGGCAAGCGAATGATAAAAGATTTCTTCGGTTAAAATCTTTAGTTTGATATGTATCTTAATAATTTTCAACAAATTTATACCAAGCAACGATGCGTAATTTCCATTAACTCGCTTGAGTTTAGTGTTGCATAACTTCTTTTAAATTATATGTCGGCATTTTAGATTACTTTAGAGAATTAACCAGAATACTTATTAAGAGCTTATAATTACTTTTTAAACGATACGACAAAACTGTGATAATAAGACCCTGAACAAATTTCCTAACAGTACTAAATCATGTTTTGTCGCATTGATTAGTTACTGTTTATGTCAGATTAGGTTAAAACGTATTTAATCTTAATAATTGATTCTTCATTAAAAAGGTAAGTTGGATATAAGAATTATACTTTAAACATGTATATTATAATTATTCCAAAAGTATCTATATACGTAGAAGATGAATTGTACTGAATCAAGAAGACAAATAAGACGTTAGATTCTAAAGTAGCAGCAAAATCAATATTTTATGATTTAGATCAGCTTAGATATCAAATTCTCAGAACCCTTGAAATATATGATCAATTTGTGTTTAATAATTCAAGTATCCTAGTAAGCGATTCATAGGAATTCACGAAATTAACTTCGAGAAATATTTATGTCTACTTTGCGATCTGAATTGCTGAGAAGCTGCTTTCAAATATCACTACAATGTATTTGACCTTATTCAGCAAAATAAGCTGAAAAGCATATATCGAGTCAATAGTAAATTGACTAGGTTGATAATTAAGATAACTCTATAGATAAATGAAGTATACCGATAGATTTTATTAATTAACTTTGATGTGAAAAATTAACATATATGTCCTAGTAACGACTTCTCACTAGAACTCCAGGAGTATCTCCTGAAGTCAGTCACTAGTGAGCAGGTGATTATTATTAGAATATGTTTTGAGGAGTCCCACAATAGGACGAAACGACCGTCCAGTGCTTCCAGGTTTTCCATGATGGTCTAACTTCAAATGACTCATGATTTCAACCAGTGAAATTTCTAAAATCTCCACAAAACCCATTCTGATATATGTCGTAGTGTACTAAAAAACCAGTCGAAAGTGTAATGAACCGAGAATTTGGCAGAACCAATTATTTCCGATAAAGAAGAGGAATATATTCAAGAATTCATTAAAACATTGACATTTGTTTAATTGATCATAGTTTCATGTTAATAGAATTGCATATTGTTGTACACAAGAAGGAACTCAAATTTTAGTTCTTATAGCAATTAAGATGTGTTTCAAACTATTTTTGTCAAACTTTAGATAGCTGAGAAGATAGTTACAGTAGCTTACACTAATGGAATTAATGTTTTTGAGACTGGAGAAGCTTATTCAAATGGAGAGTAAGTTAATTGACTGAAGAACATGTATTGTAGTTCTTAGTCATTAAACTGTTTTTTTATTATTTTTATTTTTATGAACATTACGCTTCATAGTGATTCGTAAATATCGACCATATTTCACTTATAGTTAGTCAATTTTGTTGCCCAAAAATATTCAGCATAAAATTTGATATTTTTGTTGGAAACTTTTTCAACTGACATAAATGAGACTAGGGCAATTTGAAATATGAATGTTCGGTTGAAAGTGTTAATATGTATATTTGAAATAAAACTTGATTCGGCGCACTAATAAAATCACACATGTAGTTGACTGATACGAGAATAAAGTTTGGTTGACATCTAGATCATGTATTATAGTACAAGTAAACATCTGCGTTAGTTACCATGGATTGTGATACTCTAAGAGATGTTTTCTGGATCAGTCATTCATTCTAATGAAAATATTTGCCGTCGATAAAAATCGATGCAAAATGAAAGTAAATATTAAGTCCGTGCATGATAAAAAGTAAGTGCATTTTACTTTGTAGTCAACAAAACGATGAGCATAAAGTATAGTGATCAAGTTTGTTACCTGTAGTCACTGAACAACTCTAAAGTATTACCGTGTTCATCATCATGCAAATGAAAAAACATATTAGTTTATGAAAATATTGAAAGTAATTAGAAATTCTTTGAGATATATGGAGAGACATAGTTGTGGTGTTTCCACATGTCCTGGGAATATTACGGTACGATGTTGATGTTTTTGTATGTACATACACGTGCCAGATACTGGTTCAAGGCTACGCAAAAAGCTCGCTTTTCATAGACATATGATAATTGGGAAATCAAAATTTAAACAACCTTTTGTAAATAAGCTCAATAATCGCGTAGCCGGGATTAACACACCGTAACTAACCATTTAGACCATTTTAAATGATCAGTAATATGTCCAAAAAAATAACTTAAAATATCATAACCGTCAATTGTTATATAAATAAAAAATAAACAGGAATACTTGCATTACAAGTAAGTGTGACCCACAAATCATCACGTGACTAAGTGCCGAAACTGAAAGTACGTAGTTTAAACATTAATCTGTAGTAAGATAAAATTGTTTTACTCATTCCTCATAACTAACTTCTTGATGATGACTTGACAAAAAATAAATTAGCGTTAGTCTAACATTAGGCATTGTTTATCAATGTTATTTACGGTTATTACTTCTTAAATTTAGTTCAACTGGTATTCTGAAGGTGTTCTTGAAACAGTATTTGTCTGCAATAATCACTTTATGTTACTTAACTACTTACTCCTGATACCCCTAATGGATCATAGGCCGCTGATCAGCACTATCCAACCCACCCTGTCCTGGGCCTTCGTTTCTAGTTCTATCCAATTGTTGTTCATTCTTCTCACGTCTCTCTCCATTTCTCGACGTAATATGTTCTTCGGTCTTCCTCTTCTCCTTTGGTCTTGAGGATTCCAAGTAAAGGCTGATCTTGTTGCTCATTTGAATGTTTTCCTCAATGTGTATCATATCCACTTCCAGCTCTTCTTCCTCCGAAAGGACCTGGTTTGTTTTCTCTCACAGTAGATTGTTGCTGATAGTGCCTGGCCGACGGATCGGAAGTATTTTGCATAGAAACCTGTTAGTAAACACTTGAATCTGCTGGATGATGTCTTTCGTAGTTCTCCAAGTTTCCACCTCGTACAGTAGAACTCTTTTGACATTTGCAATAAAACTACTGATTAAGATGTTGGTTGGCAGTTGCTGCATCCTAGCTGTCCATTGTATCTCGTGCTTCCCCTGAAACGTTGATGTCTTCAATAATCTAGTCGATCACCAGGAGAAATAGAAAGGGTGAGAGTAAGTAACCTTGCCTGACACTGGTCTTTACATCGAACGAGTCTGTGATCTGGCTTCCATGCACGGTAAATATTTATCAAAGAAAACTGAAGTAACATATACATTTGAAAGATATGTTACATTGTTGTGTAGAATAATTGATATAGCTTATTATAGGATATTGATGTAGAATAATATCAATGACTATTGCTTGATTTTCAATGAATTGACAACTGAGATTAGTTTGTAATTTAATTCAACCTTAGGTTTTTCACCAACCCTCACAAAACCAGTTCGTCAAAAAATTGTAAAATGTATATGGTAATAGTTTCTCGAATTATGGAAAATATCTGTTGAAGATTATTTTGTTTTAATTCGATTTTAGGGCCGAAAGAACATTGGGTAGAATATTGAGTACTAAAAATTGGCGGTAAGTTTGCAAATCAGTGAATTAAAGATGAAAATGAACAACAGTGTTCTACATTTATTTTATTTGCATTCGATAGTAACTATTCATAACAATTATTCATGAAACTACTCGTTTGTGTTGAAAGAAATTATAATCACTATCTTTACTTTATTCAAATATAAACATGAACCATCAAAATACTTGATTAATAATGAATCCAAAAGTTCAACTTTTTTGAAAACATCGTTCAATTCAGTAGCATGTCTTATTATAGCCATTCAATTATAATAATTATTGAAGTATTATAGTGAACAGAGACTTGATGAGGATAACCAATTTATGATTTAGTGCAAAATTACAGAGTGCCTTCGTGAATTATGAAAGCCATACATTAACTATTTCAGTTATACATCTTTCATCAGTTGTCCATTAAATCCTTTATGATTCTTCTAATTCACAATTCCTTCATATTTTCTTCAGCTCAATCTTCATAACCTTCTTTTACCAGGCATTTCATTTCTGATCAGTGTTACATGCTACTTATAGATGTCAACATTAGTAGCATACACAACAGTATGACTATAGAGGTTGATAATAAAGGTTTCGAAAACAATAGTTCGTTCCAATATCCTATGTTTTAAATATTTTTAATTAGCTCATCATTAGTTAATTAAATTGCTTGTTTTTAAGGTTGCTTTTAGTGTAATTTAAATAGTAGAGTGGGAACATTGAATGTCCTGGGTTCGAATCTCGCGGGGTGCGGGATCGTGGATGCCCACTGCTGAGGAGTCACACACTGGGACGAAACGGCCGTCCAGTGCTCACAGGTTTTCCATGATGGTCTAATTTCAATTGACTCATGATGTAAATCTGTGTAATTAAATGTTAACCAAATAATTTCAGACAAATTTTATTTGTGTGTTTTAAAAATGTAAGTACTTCAGATTACGTAATCTGAGATAAAAATCAGCAAATAATGTCAACGTTTTGAGTATTTATATATTTTCAAAGTAGAACTATTTTATTTAGTTCATCCATGGAACAAACTTACAACTTTCATAATCTAACCTCCCTTTCCCTTTTATAGAAGGTTTAAGCAAGTGAAGTGATAAATTAAGAAGTTGGTTTAATGTACTTCACAACCTAAAATTACATAAAACCACATGTCTAGTCTTTTAAAGACTGATTAGTCTTGGGTTTGAATCTCACGATACGTAATCGTGGGTGTGCACTGCTGAGGAGTCTCACAATAGGACGAAATGGCCATTCAGTGCTTCCAGGTTTTCCATGATGGTCCAGCTTCAATTGACTCATGATCTCAACCATTGAAATTACTATAATATCCACAAAACCCCTTCTGATATTAATTGCAAATATTTAATAAAGATTTTCAGCAGCCTACTTGTACTGTCTGTATAAAGAAATCGTGACAAGAATGCTTTAATATACATTATAATATGTACAGTGAAAATCAATAAAATGTCTGTGGAATGAAAAAAATAATACACAGTCACATTAAGAAAACGTTTGTTCAGTTAATACATAACTAAGTTTTCACAAAAAGCTTCCTTTAAGTTGAGTGGGAAAAAAAAATTTTCAACGACCAATTTAACAAACTTTTGAAGTCTATTTATTTTTAGATCTCACATTTAGATGAAATAAGTATCAAATGTGTAAGACAAAATATTCCGTTATAAAACGGCTGGGGATAAACTTTAGGCTTTCAAGTCATCTAGGTGTATTGTGTTTTCGTTTATTCAGTCACTCAATTATAGATATTTAGAAATAATTTGATTATAGACTTTATTGGAGGCATGTCTTTTGTTGTGTTATAAGTTTTCTTACATCATGACAAACTGTCATACTATTAACAGTTCGATTGCATGGTGGAATGGTATTTTAGTCATCAAAAACCTTTACGTTTTCCATGTAACTAAATACACCCTTCATTATGGATTACGATGGTGTAAATAAATTCTTGCTTCATTTTTTTGGTAGTCAGGTGCAAGGTTAAATTGTGAATGAGAATTGAGGGTATTCTCACCCGAAAAAACCCTTTTTGTAAACTTAAACATCTCAAAAATGGTATCTCTTACTACTTATTATAAAACGATATTCATTTCTTTGATTATTATCATTCTTGTAAGTTGTCTCAGGAATCGTTAGAAAAATCTAAATATTTTATGGCTTTATGGAGCACGTGGATTTAGTGGTTATTTCACAACACTTATTAGTCTAAGAGATAAACGTCTAAGTCAATAAAACAGCCATGTCATAACACAAATACAGTCGAAGTGTAAACGTGCTAGAAATTACATCATGTTTTCAGGTGGTTGTAACTGAAATTTTCTACAGTTGCGTAACAGATCTGTTAACTGTGTTCCTCCTGATCAGTCCTCTGTGACACTGGTTTAATTACATCGCATCTGTCTCAATGAAGGTTTTTAGATATGTTCTCATATGTCAACTATCCAAGTTAATCATACGATGTGCTCATGTACATTTATTTAGGGTTCAAAACCTATTGTAATGTAAAATATTGCAAAATCGAAGCTCACTAGTTAGTGTATTTTCATCCAAGCCTATATTTCGGAAAAAGCAAGACATAGTACGTTTGTTTCACAAAACGTTATGACGAATGAAATGTCTGTTGGAGTAGAAATAATCGAAAAACGTTTTTTGTTGAGGAAACTTGCGTAATAGTTACTTTTATGCAAACTAATTTGCTCATAATTTGTAAATATTTACAATTTTATTGTTTGCTGTAAAGGTATTTATTCCTTTATTCTTCATATTGTTTACCAGAACATCTCTCTAGCGAACGAAAAAAGATAAGTAAAAATATATGACTTACATTCTTAATCTAAACTTTTAACTATTATGAACACTGATATAAGATTTGTAATAGTTAAGGAAAAAAGAGGACTAGAACTGTGGAACTGCTTAATTCATTTGTGTTGATTACTTGAACCTTCCTAATAATGTTCCAGGTCTGTAATTAATTAATCTCTTTCAGCAAATTTGTGAGTTTGAGTTGCGGAATGAACATCAACCCTGTAATGCAAGTAACTTCAACTGATGAGTCCCAATTGGGATGAAACCCGCATTCTAGATAACACTGCTAGCTACTATCGATTTCTACTTAAAGATATGGAACTGTTTGTCTGTTATTTAAGAATCTACTATCGTTGTTACTGAAAAGCTTCAACTTTCAAACTTGACTAGATGGTTTTCTGATTCGTACACGAGTAGGAAAGAAAAAAATACGTAACCTTTCAATATAAGTATAATAAACAGAAACATACCAACATGAAATTTAATCAATAACAAGATTGTTAGTAAAGTACAACACAAAATAGAACAATTAAACTAGTAGTTATGTTCAGAATTTTTAGTTATCTCAAACTTATACCATAACAGTAATTCGTTAGTCATTTGTACTAAAAATTAAAATGTCAACAAAGGTTTATTATTCTTACCAAATAAATTGATCTAAACAAAAGTGAATCTACTTTATTTGTTATACTGTCGTCTTTAAAAGATGTTGTTCTATACGATTAAAATGTTTGTCATCACTAAGTGGATATTTGGTAAAAACAATTGTAACATATAGAAAGAAATGAAACTATGTATATGTTTGCTTAATTATAAGCTAATGTTGTTCTTACTTAACTTTTTAGAATCATTTCTTGTACTTGACAACATGTGATAAATCTCATTGAGATATTAAAATATTTCAGCACATGGTTCTACCTAACAGAATTCATATAGCATGTCAACTAACTTACAGACTGGATTTTATTCATTCGATTGCTTTTTCGTCGATTCAAATATTTTTTTATCTAACAAAATTGTTTCTAGTCATGATAGACATTTAGATTCTTTTCTTGGTAACTATGTTTATTAGTTAAAATTTCCTTGGATGTTATATTGACCAATAAGCAAACTTATATGAAATCATCAATAAATTGCTTTTATCAAGGCATTTATTATTATGAACAATAAAACATTACCAAAAGGGAATCAAACAGATGCTTCAGATCATAAGAGATCATTTTAATTCTTTAGCTTACTGTTTGTAGTTGTAAAGATAAAATAATAATCAGGCTTTCCGAATAACAATGGACTACTATTCTCTGAAAGATTTTTAAAACAATGTTTCGTCTTCAGATAGCCACTAGGTTGTATTATCACGGGATAATATACAGCTTTCAAATTTTTCGAAAAATCGCCAATTTTTTGTGGTTTTTAAGATTGCTAATTATCAAGTGATTTATTCGCCAATCGAAATACGACTTATACAATCTTAGTACTGTATCAAGCCAATGACGTTCGACCGATATGAGCAACTTAGCGTCCTAATTCGTCTTTGTTCACACGGGATCGAATCTGTCAGGGAGCACTGGTCCCCTCAAGATTAAAGATACATCGTGCTAACGAGTGCCAAATAGCACGAAAACTAGGTCCAGGATTTCCTGTTGACTACCTCCAACCACCATCTTATGGTCCTTTGTTCTCCTAGCCTGGTCCAGTTGAGTCCAGAAGGCCAACAACAGCTCCCACCATGCAAATCATTTACTTCAAACATGCTTGGTTTATAAACCAGCCAAACTGATCGCATCTCACCATAAAATAGGAAATCATATTTATACAAGATCAAACCAAAACGTGGCTGTAAACGTGAGAGACGGTAATTAGTAAACTCAACATAACTTAAGAACAGAAATGTTTATTAGAATCAGTGGAAATATTGTCAAGCGATATTTGTTATTCTTAAACTGGATAACACTGCGCCATTTTTAAAAATGAAGTTATGAAGTCTCGTAGGGATACAACCCCTAACAAAGGGTCTGAAAAGTCGGAAAAATGAAAATTTCACAAATGCCATAAAAATGATCTTAGTAATTGCATTTCGACGCATGACAATAGGTTCTAAGTATTCTTTAAGCCCTGACGCTTCAGGCTGGATTACTTCGTTTGCTACCCTACATATGTGTCGTGTGCAGTATAAGCTATAATCTAGGCTATGTAGAGCTGAACGTATCATATGAGACTGGAGGTCCGCCGTTGATATTGTAGATGGTTCGGTATTACTTTGGCAAGTTTTGTTGACTGTTCATACACAAAATTGGTTTGTTGATTAACCGATTTCATTCATACTAGTGGTTACTTTTCAGTGTTCTCAAGGACCATAGTCATTGGGACATTATAATGCATATCACCATTGCTAACATTAATGAGTTTGACTGTCATGTAAGCGGAATAGGTCAACTCTGACGTGTTCATGCTGTGTATAATTGATTAACGCAATCAATAATCGGAACAATTATACATATGATGTGAATATGTACATGAGTGGTGCGAATGGTCCTTCAGGGTGCTAGGTACCTGTGTGGTTGAGTCACACAATTGATCTGTACTATTCAGATTGTAGCATTAAAGCCTAAATGGTGTTTAGTTCTCCTGTGAAGCAGGAGTGAGCTGTACTACTTGGATTATGCCTGGGTGGTTTCTGGCTTCCCTGATGAACGGGATAGAAATGTACTGTTTAGGCTGTCACATGAAAGTCTGGATGATGTCCTGTTCTCCTAAAAACCGATGTAATATTACTCTGGCCCACAGGGGTATATTATATAACTGTGAACTAACTATGTGAATAAAGTCTCATAACTGTTTATTTACTGATTTTATAAGTTACCACCAACACACTTAAGATACTTGTTTATTTCAAAATTCATATTTAGAATAGTAAATTATCATCTAGTAAATTTAATTGTCATCATAAGAAAATTGATCGAGGTTTCAGTCCCAATTACACAGATGAGATTTTGTAATTAGATCTACAGTACATTTTGTATTATCATCTGTATTGTCTACATTTTAAATCTTGGTAAAAATGTTTCCATATATACAATTAAATTTGTCTGATATTCAGTAAATTTGAGGTATTTTTGTGCATCTTGTCTACTTTAGATAATTTTTTAATTCTAAAAAACAAAAATCAATAGTTTTTCACAGATCATGTTTCCATTTTTCAAATGAGATTCTTGTCAAGGTTAAGTGTGTTGCTATGGGTTTTTCCAAGTGGATGATGTAATATGGTTTAAAAAAAGAATTATTAACTTGCTTGTAATATATTTTTCCCTTTTCAGAAGATCCAGTTATATAGTATGCTGTAGATTGTCAAAAAGTGGAGAGTAAGTATAATGTTTAGTATTAACAATGATTGATTGAATAATTATAATAAATGTTGTTTGTAAAATTTGGAAATATACGAATTAAGTAGTGACAAGGTTTTGTTTCTAGATAGATAACAATGTTACGGTGTGGTAATCATCTTTGACTCTTTGACATGGTCAAATATACACTTGTGATTTAACAAACATTTCATAACATCTAACATATGTAATTAGAAAATTACAACTATCCATACAAATGATATACTATTATCGTGTATTTCAATGAATCGACTAATTAAAATCTGCCTAAAAGTGTTTTGTCCAATTCTCTTAATGACAAGGAAGAATAAAGAATACGTCTTTCATTAGATGATGGTTGGAGGTAGTCGACAAGAAACCCTGGACCCGGGTTTCGTGCTACTTGGCACTCGTCAGCAAGGTGTATCTGTAATCTTGAGAGAACTAGTGCTCCTTGACGGATTCGATCCCAAGTCACCCAGCTTTACAGTCAGAGACGTTACCACTGGGCTATCCAGGCCGCGACAGACTTTCTGTAGGACTGAGATGTCATCACAATTGATTGATCACTGAGTGGTGATCAATGTCATGCGTGTCAAGTCCTTATTTCTGTCGACTACCTCCAACCACCATCTAATCTCAATATATAGTGCCCGCAGTGTCCAGTCACCTAGACCGGTGGCCGTAGCATTCGATCTGCACTAAATAAGGACTTGACACACATGACATTGATCACTACCCAGTGACCAGTCAATTGTGAATGCGTCTTTCATGTTTGTCATTAATCCTAATAATTCTGATAATATATATAAATTGTTTTAGAAAAGCATGGACCGAACTTAAGTTATAAGTTGTCATGTAGCGTGTTTAGTATTTCAATGCGCCTAACAAAATTAAAGCTTTTAAAAGCTGATTATTTAGCTGTTTGACTAAAGAGAGAATAAAGATTATCACTGTTCTGAATCACCCTTAATAGAGTTTACTAAGAGTTTTTTTTAACAGCAATGAGCTAAAATGGTTGTTTAAGTAATCGTAAAAAAATGTTTCCTGTGCCAGTATTTAAATGTCCATATACTGATTCTGATTTTAAGGATATTTTGTTATTTTCTTTGTGCAACTTTAATCAACATTTAGTGCTAAAAAATAACCTTATATTACGGTAATAGTTTCGCTGAAACTACGCAAGGTAGATCACTTGGTATATATTGAAGACTGATTACTTTGTAGTGATTCTGAAACATACATGGTAAATTGTTGAATTTCAGAACACTATAACATAATTATATAAAGTATGGTTGAATTGACGTAAGACTGGATAAAATTGATTTTGAATCAGTCGGAAATACGCGTCATTATCCCATAATTTCTTTAGTAAAAATAAATGTTTTTGATCATAATATGAACCGTTCTACAAATACTTTTACTGATTGATATAAAATTGTTGGACGCATCTACTTTTTCAATGAATATCAAAAGACATAATGTAGTGTGTGTTAATGGTGTCAATAGATATATGTAGCATGTATCATCAGTCGAAAGCGAAATTTCTGGAGGCAGAAGGTTAAGAAGATCAAAGCAAAATAAATCAGAACAAAGAATGTTTAGTGTGGAAATGAAAGAATGATAAAGTCGGATACGATTGATCTACATTTTGTAGAAGGATCAGTCAAGTTTGAGACAATTGATTGACATTTTGCAAATGAAGTATTTACTGGATTGTTTTCAGATTTTACTAACATATTCTTTAATCTCGTATTCAAATACAATCGATTGTCCCCACTTGCTTTCTTATTCACTACAATAATATCTTTTCATAGTGCAATCTATCGAAATCAGCAATTTATAGCAAATTCTATTACCATTCAATGAAAGTCCATCAATATTCTGTAGAATGAAATAAATATTTACATGACCAAAATTATCTTATATATCTGATTTGCTTTAATATCTAACACTTAAAAAAAGGCGAAAGACACAATCTATGAACACAATATTATATAATGCAGCTAAGTCAACATAAGTCATTAGGCATTAAAACATAAACATGATGTAACACTGGTAACTATTAATCAATTCTCTATTAGAAGTTTAAATATTTCAATGCATTTAAGCTTTCATTATTGCCTATTACAAATGAATTTGTCAGAATTTCAAGGCAAACATAAATGTTATTTCTTTTTGATTGCGGATTAGATAAGCTTGATTATTCAACTATGTTGAATGTATTGCTTTTTTAACATTCACGAAATTCTGTTTTATAATTTCCTTTATTATTTATTACTGGTGTGTAGTGATTTAGGTAGTGTGAATTTTCATTTGTAAAGTTTGTTTTCTCATAGCTGAACATTCAATTTTAAGAGATAGTAGTTATCTTTTCAAGCGGCATCTTATTTTGTTGTTAAAAGCGTTTTATTCTGGCTGAAGTAAAATACATTTTAACCTAAATTATAATCAAATTAATACATTTGTAATATCCCAATGAGAAGAAAAAATAAATTTTCTGACGTTTCGTAACTCAATATGAGTCACTTCATCAAAGAATAAACAACCAAATCAAAATTGATCCAATCGATCAATCAAAAAACAGGTCTGAACAGGTCACATAATATTCTTGTGTTGTTCCTTTGTACTATTTAAACTTGGATCAATTTTGATTTGGTTATTTATTCTTCGAAGAAGTGACTTACATTGAGTCACGAAACGTCAGAGAATCTATTTTTTCTTCTCATTGGGATATTACAGATGTATTAATTGATTTATAACAATCTACCCAATGCTCAATGTATTAGAAATCATCAAGTCAAACCTTGATAATGATACCTACTTTAACCCAAATTCATTATTTAAGTTAAAAAGAAATCTTTTTAGGCAAAGATGGATAGTTGCTAGCAGTGGAATACAGGATTGATCAATTCCAGTTCTAAATAAAAATGGGAAGATACAAGTAAAGCAATATCAAGTGAATTTAAAAAGGAATCTGTTCATCAGAGAGATTCTTGATATTTATGTAAACAATTGTCGTCTGTTATTCGTTGTATTTAAGAAACAAACCAACAATAATGACTTGATTTAGTACTCAAAAATCTGAATGTTTATTTTTACTAGTAACATATGGAAAGTTCCTAAATGAGAAACATCTTAGCGAATTATTTAGTTTTATACCGTTATTGTTTTGGCTTGCATAATAAAGTTTTTTATTGATTACTGATTCAGATAGCATTTATATTCAATTACATTGTGATTAATAGTGTTGTCATGTATAAAAGATTAACATTTTATGGCATTATTACGTACAATGTTCAATTACTGCTCTGAAAAGCTCGTTATTGGAATTTATAAAGAGTTTAATTTTGAATCTCTATAAAAAAAAACACATTACATGCAAAGAACAAGTAAACTATAGAGCAATCTGAAATAAATTATGTCTATGTGTATCACATTTTAATGGTGACATCTCAGTGTTGATGTCTACATTGAGGCTTGAACTCGATACATGTCATTTCAAACTACTAAACTTTCATTACTGAGTAACTCTATTCAAATAAACACGAAAGTGTTCAGCAGGTGTGATGTCATTTGCTCCGGCTTATCATTAAAACTCACTAGTGTATTTTAATCAAGTTGAGTACACTATAACAATCTTTAAAAAAAAACAGGATAACTCGAACCCTTTAAAAATGTATTGACGTTCATACCAATCAATATATCTTTAGTTAAGTTAACATATCATCATTTCTAACTTATGCTATTTACATTTCATTACCGATTTTTATTTTCAATATTTCTCTACAATTTAAATTAATATGTCTTTTATTTTAGTGCTGAAACTGAACAAGGTCTTTCAAGAAAGCATCTTTTTGAAGGTAAACAATATTCTACATGTTACTACATGTTTTATAAATTTATATATATGTAAAATTGTTATTGTCTTGTTAGACACTTGTTTTTTAGAATGGTAGTCGGAGGTAGTCAACAGGAAATCCTGGACCTAGGTTTCGTGCTACTCGGCACTCGTCAGCAAAGTGTACTTGTAATCTTGAAGGAACAAGTACTCCTTGACGGATTCGATCCCGTTTCACCCAGCTTCACAGTCAGAGACGTTACCACTGAGCTATCCGAGCCGCGACTGACCTCCTGTAGAACTGGAATGTATTCACAATTGATTGATCACTGGGTGGTGATCAATGCCCTGTATATCAAGTCCTTCTTAGTGCTTGTTTTTTCAAAGTAATGGATTTAAACTTGATAATACTAAAGAAGCGAACGAATATAATAAATTTTTGATATTCCCTTACAGTTAAAAATATAGACATGGATTAGCTTATTGAGAGATTTGCATTTATAAAAGTAAATATACTCCTTTCTTATAAATTGTAAGTTTTATCTGTCATCAAACGAAGTGATTGAGGTTTAAAGTCATGATGAATTTTTTCAAAATTAATTTGATTATCTATTAAATCCATTTCCTTTAATTATTCCTAAATAATGCAGTGTATTTAAGTATGATAATCTAATTGAACAACGAACATTTTCTGCACGACCTAATCATAGTGTAGTGAATGAGAAGATAAGTAGGGACAACCAAACGTATTTTAATACAACATTTACGGAATCTTTTAATAAAATCTAAGAACCATAAAGTAAATACTTCATTTGCAAAATATCAACCAGTCGTCTCAGACTTTATTGTTCCTTCATTTCTACAACAATCATTCTTTGTTCTTGTTTTCTTCTCTTCAATCTTCTTAACCTTCTGCTGCTGGGCAATTCACTTTCGATTGGTGACATATACTACTTATATCTGTTGACATTAGTAGCACACACCACTATTGGATTATATATGTGATACACTATCATTATTTTATATAAATTACATTAGATATAAAAAGTACAACAAAGTCGTTATGAAACACTGTGTAATCTGATTATGTAATAAAAACAACATGTACTTTTTTCAAAAAACAAACGATGATAGACTAATATTAGGTCAAATAATGATCATATGAAAAGGTAAAAAGATTTATTAACTTTATCAATGTCATTGTATTTTGAAAATGTTTCTTCTTAGTAATAAGTTAACCTTATTCATTCATTTAATTATTGATTTTACAGTAAATACAGTGGTTATTCCACAATATGCACCTTTATTTGTTCTCAATTTAACCTTTATACATGTTGAAGTAAATTTTAATTATTCTATTAGACTATTAGTTTCTGTTATTAACTCTGATACTATATCAGTCAGTCAGCTACAACGTAAGATTAGGCAAATATATGAATCGGTTCAAGTTGCCATATATTCATTAGCATAACAGGATGAACACTAAATTCATAGTATTAGTTATTTCAATGGTAAATATATATAAAAGAAAGATTGCACATAAAGATATAGTACAGGAAGAACGAATTAGTACGTAGAAAGATATGAAGCGATTTTAATCTCACAGTTCAATGGAAGGCAAAAAGTGTATACATCTACGCTATTGTGATCGATTGTGTGCCATTTCGCCGAGAGTCTCCAACCATTGGTTACGATAATCACGTGGACCCAAATCAATTAGTCTGCATCTACCAACATGGCTCAGACCAGAAGTCAGTGACTTCAAGGAGTGATGCCACGTTTTGGTTTGGCCGTCTCTAACTTTCTTCCAACCATCTCCAGCACCGGTTAGCATTGCGCGTCGTGGTAATCGGTGTTCAGGCATACGTAACACGTGGCACTATATAATATTAGTCGAATAAGAATAGTTTCTTACTACTTCCGACCTTAATGAATATAATGCTAGACTTTGTATTGATGACTACAAATTTTCCAACGACAATAACGAATTAAAATGAACAGTCGTAATTAGCCAAAAATGTCGGCGCAGTGGTCAGTTGGTTAAGCGCCTAGCGCACGACTAATAGGTCTTGGATTCGAATCCCGCGAGGCAGGGTCGTGGGTGCGCACTGCTGAGGAGTCCAACAATGGGACGAACCGGCCGTCCTGTGCTTCCGGGTTTTCAATGGTAGTCTAACATCAGTCGGTTCATGATCTCAATCAAAAACAAAATATTCTTGAAAAAAATATATATATATACAACAAGAATTGGGGAGTTGTTTTTTTATTGAAAGTGTGGTGTGTGTCACTTATTTCGACATGAGCAGTATATAATGATAGTCAAGATTAGAATGTCTGGCAGCAGAAGGTGGAGAAGGAAAAGAACGGGGACAAAAATCAGTTTGTATGAAAATGCAAGAACAATGAAATTTGAGACAATTGATTGATATTTTGCAAATTATGTATTTACTGTATGGTTCTCAGATTTTAGTAAGATGTTCTGTAATTTTGTGTTGGAATGCATTCGGTTGTTCACCACTTTTGTTCTCATTTACTACAAAAAAACTACACATCTATAAAAAGAAGTACTTAAAAGGCTTGAAAAAATATTCTAGTAAAGCCTGATATTGAAGTATAGTTATGTTCTGATGCACAAATATAAATAATTATGACATTTAGAATCAGTCCTATTTTTATGCAGCTTCCATACACAAACTAATTTAAACAATTTTACGTATTCAAATGTCCTAATACTTTCACGAGATAATTTGATAGAGCTCGTTTGCGGGCGTTACATTAACCATTTTGTAATATATAGACGTTTGTAAGATTTTAGATAATCGAGAATGATAAAGTAGTTTCTGAAAAATCTCTCTTACAACAAACTATCAAAACTTGGTACTAGTTACTTTGATTATTCATAGTGTAGGTTATTTGATAGGGATTTATTGACATCAATGATTAAGTGGTACATTAGAAAGGGAACTAGTGAATGTGAAAAGATGTTCAATGAACAATGGATACCCATAGAAATTTATTGAGAAGTATGCACAACTTGAAGATAAAAACCCAAAGAAACTACAATGAACAAGAAAATTATTTTTATCCAACCTAATTTCAACGGTGATCATGTGACATGTTCAGTCGGCATAAGACTAAAAACTACTTTTGTTCTGCAGCTAAACTGATTATCTTGTCCAAAAAAACATGTTATTCAACAAGATCAAAGATTGATAGGTAACTCTTTTTATGTTTTCACCAACTGTGTCTACAAATTCATATGTATTTGCCAAGCACTTTGATTAGTAGAACAGAAAAGATAGCCTAAGTGCGATCCAAAGAGTATATTCCAGAAAGTCTAAAGTCACGTGGAGTAGAAGCATTCAGCTGTTCCATCTCGAGACATCTCTTTGATACAGGATATCAAATGGATACATTGAAGTCTTTCAAGTTGATCAATAAGCAATCGAACTCCAATATTCTGAAATTTGTCAAAGCTATAGTAAGGAAATGTCTAAAGTGGGGTCTGTGTGTTCAAAAAGAAACAGTAATAAGTCTATATTTGCTCTGGTAATATTACATCCTTTTTATTGCATCATTCATTATTTCAACATTTTCTGAAGTTTTAATTATATCACTGTGCTTTTACTCTAATTCATAATTGACTAATTTCAAGCCATATCTTTCTTTATTACCATTAATCTGCTTTCAGTTACTTCATTACATAGACATCTAATGTTTGTTAACTCTAATCAGTAGTTCAATGTTCTGGAAATTTCCATCTCAAACTTTATTTATTTATCTAAAACAAGCAATTTTTAATGATCTAATTAACTCTATTGGAATCTTCACTACATCATGACGCACATAAACACCTTTAACCACCTTTGTATTTATAAGTATGTCAATATCTGTAATAACTTTGATTTTGAAATATTACAGGTTATAAGCAACTGACGAGAACCTACCGAAATGAATTAAATTCATATCATTCTGAGCTGGTCTTTGTTTTTGCCCTCTTTATGATGATAGAGGGAACTATTGTAGTGAACAGAACACGGGTGGGGACAGTCGAATTGTATTTAGCACAAAATTACAGAGTTACTTGGTAAAATAGAAAAACCATACTATAATACTTGCAAAATGTTCAATAATTGTCTCGGACTTCATTGTTCTTGCATTTCTATACTAATTGCTTTCTATTCCCGTTCTTCCTTTCTTGATCTTCCCCATCTTCTGCTGCCAGACATTACATTCCTTACTCGCGTCATATAGTAGCACGCACCATACTGTATGTATGAAAAGTGAATATTATAAATCTGATAGAAGATGATACTGTTTTTGAAATAGATTAATCAGATAAACTGGATTATTATATTGTTACATTTGTAGAAAGCCCACTACAATAGAAATACGTTGCGTAGCTTTAACCAATGAATATTCAATTGTGAATCAAAGTACCATGCTTCAAAAATCTACTTCGGGGCTTTTTAAAATACAAATGATAACATTTTTGTCAGCCGCTGAAAAGCTGCAAGTACTGAACAGTCGTTTCGTCTTAAGAGATGGTAGAGAAGTTTTGTCGCTCAGGTGAATGATTTTATTGAGGTTTTGTTTTCTGAACTGGATGGTTTGGTCGTGGAGCTTCCATCGTTATTCTAAACATCACCAGCACAAACCTCAGGTAGGAGTAAAGTGTTAGAACTTCTCCATCAAGAATTCATAAAGAATCAAATCCGTGGGAGATACAATAAAAATAAAGAAGTAAAGAATGGCTGGTTAAAGGTCAACAATAACCAATCAAACTCGAGGTCAATAGAACAAGCTGTGAGCCATATGTAGAGAAATTCGAACACTTCACTTCCACCTGAAGTTTGTGTTGATGATGTTGTTCATGAGAACGTAAAAAGCTCCACAACTGAACCATCTAGCTCAGAGAACAAAACTTCACCGAAATCATTTTGTCTTATTATGATACTCACGGCAGTGCACATCAAGAACTCAACATGCAGGGCTCGAACTCGGGACTTTTGGTTGTGTGAGAGAACTTTTAATCTCTAAATCATACTGGGACAAAACTACCTTCTAGGTTGTCGGTAGTGGTCTAACTTACATTGGTTCATGATTTAAATATAATATGTTTAAGATTTACTCTGTTTCTAAGTCAAGTTATTTTTAAAGGTGATAGACTAGTCTTACTCAACTAAATACTGGTTCTCTCAAATCTTTATGTTTCAACAAAAATAGAAGGAGCGACACTTACTATTTTGCTTAGAAATTTAATCAGCAGTAGAGGGCGCATACTGCCTAGTTTTGTGTAATTTGCAGCTATCATTTATTTATTAAATGCTTTTCTTACACTATTTTAAGAATATATCCGATATATTTTGTGAAACAGGTCTTCGGTCTTCCTTAGAAAGACTTCAACTAGAATACGTAGATATTGTGATTGTTACGCGTCAAAACGAATCATCAATTCCAGTTGAAGAAGTTGTAAGAACTTGCACACATCTTATTCATCTTGGTTGGACATTTTATTGGGGTACATCTGGATGGTTACCTTGTGAAGTTATGGTAAGATTTCATCAATGAATGTTTGTCGTTTTCATATGTTAAGATTACGAGTTTCTTATTCATGAAATCCTTCGTTTAAAATGTCATATAGAATAAATTAGAAATACATAGATGGGCATAAAACAGTTGGAAAGAAAAATTTATATTGTCTATTATATTTATCAGCTTTCTGATTATCAGATTAGAAAGACAGTCATATGACAAAATAGTTTGTACAACGTTAATCAGATTATATATTTTATTTTCATACATTTTCATATTAAAAAGCGGGAACCGTGAGAACCCGATGAAACAGGATAGTCCAATTCTTAGAAAACAGAAAATTTAGCTTTTTTAATATCTTGATCTTGAAATTCTTTGGAACTGTCACATTACATTTTCAAAACTACTTGATAGGTGTAAAACACGAAAACTTCTAGTGTGACAGTCGTTCCCCCCACCATAAGGTTTTACTTTATTTTTTAAAATAAATATTATTATACTATTTTTCAAGCATTGTCCGTTGATACATTGTAATAACTGAAGCGCAGCTAAAGTAATATCACTGAAAATTTGATTGACAAAAACAGAAGAATTTGATGAAATGATTTTCTAGGATTACATAATGTACATAAATATATGGGATTGCATTCCACATGACGGAATGTATGATAAATAGTATACAAATAGACATTTAGTTATACTTATTTACTCCTGTTACTCCTCGTGGAGGAGCATAGGCCGTCCACCAGCACTCTCCATCCAACCCAGTCCCGAGCAATCCTTTCCAATTCTTTCCTGTTGTTATTTATCCTTTTCATATCTGCTTCTATTTTCCGACGTGATGGCCTTCCACTTTTCCACTTCACCTCAGGATTCCAAGTTAGGGCTTGCCTCGTGATGCAGTTTGACGATTTGCGTAATGTATGTCCTATTCACTTCCAACGTCCTTTCCTAATTTCCTCTTCAGCTGGAAGCTGGTTCGTTCTCTCCCACAGTAGGCTGTTGCTGATGGTATCCAGCCAACCGATGTTGAGTATCTTGAGAAGACAGCTATTTATAAATACTTGTACGTTCTTGATGGTGGTTGTTATAGTTCTCCAAGTTTCAGCTCCGTACAGTAGAACTCCCTTGACGTTCGTATTGAAGATTCTCACTTTGATATTGGTTGAAAGTTGTTTTGAGTTTCATATATTCCTCAATTGTAGGATACGGCTCTTGTTTTGCATTCGATAGTAAAAATATTTGAGCTTTTAAGAAGCAACTTTCGTCGCATACTCTTTGTTAAGATTCCTTTTTTACATTCACTTTGCGACGTTAATTTTTCAAGTAAATAAATGTTTTCGTTAGACATTTTTTTCAATTCTTGTAAACGTTACATCAGTGTATGGCATTTTCTTCTATATATGATAAAATCAAACTTAAGAGTCTAGATGTTGGCATATTGAAATAAGACTTTGTAAACTTTGACGACTATAGACAGATCAGAGAATCCTATCTGAACGTTGATTATGTATCACTAAGGTTCAGCTCGATATGCTTTTTGACTAAGTGCTTTGTAGTTTATTGAACTCGATCAATCATATTCGATGTATTTAAAAAGTAAAAATGAAACATATGGTAGTTTATTGCGAAAACTTGGGTTTGAGTATACGTCTTTCACATTTCAGCTTACAGCAATAAGTCGATCAGCATTACTAAAGTTTCGTAGATAGATTTTATTTTATTGTGGTTAATAGTTATCGAAAAAAAGCATGGGAAACACACGACAACTATTTAAAAAATAGAATCTTTTGGAAAGTTTGTTCATCCACTTAGCCACAGAAACAAGAAAATAAGTACAGGGAAAACTAAGGTAGGAGAATTAAAAATATACTTAAGGAACTATGTACAAACTCAGTTAATTATCGCTTGGTGGTACATTTTTCAAAATCTCTTAAATGCATTGGATTGCTAAGATTTAATCTATTAAAATAAGACAGACAAGTTATGAATACTGTATATTTACCAGCTAACTAAAACATGAGCAAATCATTCAAACCAAGTGCTCACAACCAGATTAACTTCGTTGTTCTATGCATTTAACTTTGCTTAAATAATCTTTAAAATTCTTTATAAATTCCAGTATATTTACTTTAAAAATAAACTTCTATTATTGAATATTTGTAAATAATAGGGTTAGTTCCTATCAATGAATTCATTAATTACAATCTTTAGATACGAAATTTATAAGCAAAGATGGATAGTGGCTAGCAATAAAATCCACGACGCGCGTTTCATCCTATTTGGGACTCGTCAACTGGATGTACCTTCATCTCAGAGTTGATGTTCACTCGGTGTTACGAACCCAGTACCGTTCACCTCAAACGCTATCGCGTTACCCACTTAGCTAGTGATTCCTGATAGTCACTTGCTTGTGCGATGGAGTGAAGTTTAAATTCACTTGGTGTTGTTTACTTGTATTTTCTCATTGTTTTTTAGGATTGTCATTGATCAGTCTCTTATTGGTATATGTCAAGACTCAGTAGCTAAGTGGATAACGCAATGGCGTATGAAGCGAACAGTCCCAGAGTGAACATCAACTCTAAGATGCAGATACATCCAGTTGACGAGTCCCAAATAGAACGAAACGCACGTCCTGGATTCCACTGCTAGCTAAAATCCATCTTTGCTTATAAAGCTTGTTATATCAGGCAATATCAAGGCAGTCCGCACAGGATGCACATATGTTAACAAGAGATTGATCAATTTCAATCCTAAATGACAATGGGGAGATACAAGTAAACAACAAGTGAATTTAGATACAACGTTTTTTTAATTTTAACTGTTTATCCACGAATTCTAAACCAAAACGGGTTCATTTGTTTGTTCTTCTTTCAAATCATAATCAATCAGCATATTTTAACTGGTCTGATAAACTGTACATACAAGATCATCATTTTATCAGTTATTAAACAATTTGTAAGAGTTTTCTTTCATTAGGATACAATGTTTTCTAGAATATATATATATGACAAATCCTAAGACAGTGTATAATAGGTCTACAAGTATCTCCTTGTGGTGAGACGATAATTTATGGACGAATCAATCAGATTTACAATAACAGGTTTCTGGGTTTGAAGCTATTACGAGTTCAATTAGTATGCAAACGGAACAAAGACTTGTGACCGTAGTCCAATAAGCTAGCTATTTGATGCGTCCCAGCCCTGCTAATTAGAGAAAGAAGTCCAAACTTGGAACGGGAAGGTATATTTCGTAAGCCAGAAGCACGAGTGAATAATAACAGACACGAATCAAACGTATATATACAGCATAAAACTTTCCTTGGGAAGCGTAGCAAAAATAGCATACTAAAAATATACAACGGACCGATAGCATTAAAGATTCTCCCAAGTGGAAAATACGACATGAAGGTGAAAAGCGCACTTTTGGCGCGAAAACAGGGATATTCAAATTTCCAAAATAAAATTACAAAATTAAGGCATTTACCAAGTGAGTTCTGAGGATCTAACATCCCTAACACAGGTCTTGAATTTCAGCATGAAATTCATTCATCCATTTGACTAAATAACATATTGACATTTTAGCTAATATCAGTTCGTGATGAAAACTTTAAATCTATTCCCTATCCCTAACCATCATTTGTAAATCATAATCCTTATCCTTCACACTGGATTAAAACCTTCATTTAAACCTAATAAGTAGGTGGACATTCTCAAAGTAACTTTAATGTCTCTCAAAGGTTGTCCATAAATTTTAGTCTCACCCTTATTGTTTTAATGCATCGTTATTTAGATTGTATGAATTAATCATATTTATATCCAAATAGTTTATAAATTCCTTTCTTTTTTTCACTAATGTTTCATTAGCAAGCTCAAACAGTTGCCAGACAATTCAATTTAATTCCACCATCTGTAGATCAAAATGAATTGAATTTATTGAATAAAAATTATTTGCAGAATATGCGTGAAATTTGTTTAAAACTAAGTAAGTATATAAGAAAAACAAATATGTTTGACCAATTTATTCTCTACCATGAAATCAATGTTTAAAATATAATGCATCAGATTTTATAGTTAAACCAGCTTATATAACGTACTATAAGTATGTGTATGAAACGCGATAGTACTGTGAAAATGTTCTCTTAGAGTTCATCATTTTTATTCAAGTATCTGCATTATGTAATAAACATTGATCAAACAAAATAATTTAAATAGTTGAATTCATGAGTCGTTTAAAGTAAGTCCACTTTGGAAAACCTAAAAGAATTGAACAGCAGATTCGTCCTCGTATGAGACTCTTCAGTAGTGAGGATCCATGATCCTGCACATAGGATTCGAACCCAGGACTTTCGGACTCGTGGGCGAATGCTTAACCACTAAACTACTGAGCTGGTCGACATTTAACAGTGTTAATATTTTACTTCAACCCTTCTACAATATTGCACGATGGAATATTCACAAAACCCTATTCTGAAAAGAATTTTAGCTTTTATTGAATTGTAAAGAAATAATTTGTTTTTAATATTTATAAGCTGTAAACACGCAAACTTGTTGAAATTTATAGTAAGCGCTAAATATTTGAAATCAACATATAAATCAATGCACATTATCTTCAGCTTAAAATGTAGGTGTTTTTCAGGAAATGAATTTAAATCAAACAAATGATGGTTTTCAATCTTATCATTGCTACAATAATAAAGTTTTATTCATTGTTTCTTTAAAATTGGGAACTATTTGTAACTAAGCAAGATATTATAATGATTACATTTCATGATCGATAATTTTTTCTTCACAATCATTAGATCGTTGTTTCTTTTCTTCACGCATATAAAATATAATTAAGAAAGAAATTATAATAGTTAAACTGTCAAAGCAGCTAGTTGAATAAAACTACAGTCTACCTGAAATTCTCCTGCAGATGATCAAACGATTTGATGAATGCGTTAGTATATATGATCATGTTTGATCAACTGATGGAATTATATTGATCATAATGTTAATTTCAAATTGTAATTCAGACAAAACTGTATAAGATGTTTAGTTTACAGTTAGTTTTGATATCCAGACATCATTCATTCATTGCTTAATCTATTATGCATATCATAATCTTTTGCATAAAGATTACAATGGATTATAGAAGAAAGATATACATGAAAGAGGAATAATGTATTTGTAAAATCTTAGTGAATTAATTTGAAGTAAATCCAACGTTTTGCCTGGCAATCTGGTTCAAGCTTTTTCAAGGAAAATAGAATCAAACAACAAAATTATCGAATATAAATAGGTACATGCTTCTCTGGTTTACTGTATACATGGAATTAGAAAGAAATATTGTCTTCTGGTTTCAAAATTGATATGTGGATAGTATTAGACTGGATTTAATAGTACCAACTAGACAGTTAACTACCTATTATATATCTTACAGAATATATAGATTTTGGATCTATAACTAGAAAAAATTTAAAACATAAACTTCAGTCGAGTTCACGTTATATATCTTGAAAGAATCTGAGTATAAAATAGTAGCCGATGATTTTTCCAAACTATAGTAGTGTTTCTACATGTCTACTTAGGTTTTTAATAATACACAAAACGTTTCTGTAAACCTCTAACGTCTCTTGTAAAACTAACGCATGTATTAAACTACTAAATAAAGTGTATTGTTTAAGTATGAATTACTTCTGTCGTGTGTTAGTTTGAATATTATCGACGTTTATTCATTTAACTCAAATAATTCCAATATCATGCTGGAAGTGATAGATTCATGGGTTTCCTATACTGGAACTTGGTGGAATATTTTGGTCAACAATATTTGGATTATTTTTGCATCGAAATATGTAATGATGTCATTGGTCATTTAAATATGGAATAATTTATTTTTGAGTCAATTTTTATTAGCTAATTTAACTGTCAGTGAATATATGTTTTTATCAGATAGCTGCGATTATCACTCTTTAATCTGGCAGAATTAAGCAATGGAAAACTCTGAACCTAGGTTTTACGGTAGTTGAGAATTGCCAGTAAAGAGTGCCTGTATCCTTGAGAGAATCAGAACCTATTTCATCTTGATTCACACTCTGAGATGTAGTCAGGTTTTTCTGTAGACTACTTTCAATTAACTAACATTTCAACATATTACAAGCGATATTGGATTACTTGGATTAGTAGCCACATTGTAACTTAGTTGAATGAATTCGACTAGCATCAAAAGACCTAAAACAAAATATGTCACTGGTCACTATTCAGTCATCAACCAACAATAGTTACTAGTAAACAATAGTTTTCATACATTGATGTGTTGATTATAATAAATTTCAATCGTAAATGACTGTAAGATATCATAATATTGTTTTATGTTTTCTTTTAAATATTTAAGATATTGGTATTATGACAGGATCACCATTAAGTGGTGGAATTTTAACTGGAAAATACATTGACTGTATACCGAATTTTTCACGAGCTACACTAAAAGTGAGTTTTTGAGTGTAAATTTCTATCTGGCAGAAAACTAATTATCGATTTAATAATGGTACCAAAATTGTATGCAAAAATAATTATATTCACAGGTTGAAATACAGTAGTCTACGAAGACCAACGACAATTTTTAGTATCCTTTTATAATAATCTGTTGGTTAGATCAAATACAAGTCTAAACAGATTTAACTATTTATAATATTTGTTTAGTTGAATGATCATTCATAAGATAGTAGAGTAGATGGTGGGAAAATTGAAGAGCGAATGCATTTATCAACAGAATATTTGTACAACTAACCTTTTTAGTTGGCAAAAAGTGTTTGCCATTTTTTACATGGTAGGATGAAATTTTGTTTAATTGATAATGTGACCTCATTGATGATAATGTGGATGTTTGTATAAAAGAACAATGTTTAGAATTATCTGCCAATAATCAGATGAAATGCATTTTACCTGTCATTATTTTCAGAGTTTTTAAAAGGATTCACATGAGAATAAGGGACTAGGAAATGGTGAAATTCTGCATTCATTTAGTGGATCAAAAAATCGATTTATTCTTAAGGAATTATACGAATAATAAATGTGTAGTAAATTATTTTTATTAAATATAAACTATTTATTTTAAGCAAAGATGGATAGTGGCTAGCACTGGAATCCAGGACAGGCGTTTCATCCTATTTGGGACTCGTCAACTGGATGTACCTTCATCTCAGAGTTGATGTTCACTCCGGGACCAGAACCCACAACCGTTCATTTCAAACGCCATCGCGTTATCCGCTTATCTACTGAGTCCTGATTGTGGACATCAACTCTGAGATTCAGGTACTTCAAGCTAACAAGTCCCAAATAGGACGAGACGCGCGCCTTGGATTCCACTGCTAGTCACCAACCGTCTTTGCTTATAATGCTTGTAAATTGAGGCAATATTGAGGCAATCCGTACAGGATGCACATATGTCAACAAGAGATTGATCAATTTCAGTCCTAAATGACAATGGGAAGACACAAGCAAACAACACCAAATATATTTTTTAAAACTTTTTTTATTGGTTTTAGAATCAAGAAGATATACGTGATAAACTTCTTTGTTCAAAAGGTATCAGTCAAAGGGAACAAGTTAAACAACTATATAAGATAGCAGGTAGAATGAAATGTACTTGTGCACAATTAGCTATTGGTAAGTTGTAACATATCTTTCCACCATACAGATAATATATATGCTGTGAATTGTGAGAGTGAAATCATTTACTGACTAATTTTAATATTACCTTACTCAAATAAACAATTTGACCGGTTTTATTGGCTATGAGTACTGATAAACATTTAGAAAGATTATTTTAATTTAATAGAACAAATAGTTGTTATTTAAAAAGAGAAACAATACGAAGAAAAATGTTGGGTTTAATGGAAGTTTGGTTTGTTTGTCATTTGAATTGCAAATCATATTTTCTTTGTTATTTATTGAATTGAACTAAGCTTATGGGAAGATGTTACATCGTACAACGATATTATAAGCTTTTCTTCATAACTTTGCAATAAAAGCAGTCACTTAATGTTTTACATTTTAGATTGGTTAGAATACAACGTCATAGTAGTGTCTCAATAATGTAATAATATGTTATGATTTTATAGATACCCTAGTACGAATTGACTTTTCTTTCTGTTCAGTTAAAAATGTGTCTGATATTTTAAATTTACTCACTAGTGACTAGTTGTGTGAGGGAAATCTTGGAGTTCTAGTGTGGAGCCGTGACCAATGGAGCTAATCCGCGTCGGGTACAGACAGGTATCTACATCGGACAATGGAAGATGGTCGCACAATTTCATGGATTGGTTAAAGTTAGACATTAACACCTTTAGATGTCGGCTTAGTGATCTAGAGGTTAAGTGTTCGCGTGCGAGACCTAAGGTTCTGGGTCCAAATCTTGTGTGAGGGATCGTGTATGCGCACTGTTCAGGAGTCCCCTACTAAGACGAAATGGCCGTCCAGTAATTTCAGGTTCTCAATGATGGTCAAACATTGGTTGCTTCATGATCTGAATCAAAAACTTAACAATCTCCGCAACCCCACACTGAAAATATTTAAAAATTTGATAATGGTACAGTTGATTGGTAATAAACTGCGAGAATTAACCACGTCACTTATCCTATTGAAATAGTACATTTTAACTAGTACAGCAGATAAACACATAGCTTAACATTTCGTTAAAACAAACTACTTTAAATGTGTTCATAAGCAGCTTTAGTTAAATTTGACTGTACTCTATAAAATAAATTGATTATATTCGTCCTTCTCCGTCATTTTTGAACGTGTAACGTGAATTACATGTTCAGAACTAGCTTTCTAAAATTTCACTATATTATGCCTTTAAAATTAAAAAACCTGATGCTTATTCCATTCGATTTACTTCTTTTCTTTGTGTGCAAATCAACTTGTTAGCCTGGTGTCTTCGCTGTTCACATATTAGCAGTGTTATTATCGGAGCAGCAACGGTTGACCAGTTACATGAAAACATAAGATCAGTATTGGTAAGTATTTAAAAATATTTCTGGAAAAATTCCAACATTATCGGTAAAACGATAAATGAAAATTATTTGAGTATTTAAAGAAGATTCGACGAGACCATAATTTATGGACGAACCAATCACGTATAAAATAACATGTCTCGGATTTCGGCATGAAATTCACTCATCCATTTGGCTAAGTAGAATTTTGGCATTAAAGCTTATATCAGTTTGTGATGAAAACCCGAAATCTAATTCCTAACCTCAATCATCAACTGTAAATCATAATTTTAATTCCTCACACAGGTTTATAACGTCAATTTAGCCCTAGTTATTAGGTGAACACCCACAAGGTCACTTTGGCGTCGTTCAAAGGTCGTTCATAAATTATAGTCTCATCGACGATTCAGTCAAATGGCGAGTATTCATTTTACTCAGTGTTTTTCGAGAACAAATCTTTAGGGTTGTATTCTGCGATCGCAATAAACAATTAAATAAGTTGATGTTCAAAGTTTAAACAATCGTACAATTTGAAACTATTTTCTTCAATAAATCAGAAAAGAGTAGTTTATTTAACATTCTCAACTTATTACCTCACTTGTCACTATGGTTCTACATGTTTGTCATTCACTGGTGATTATTCGTGTACTGTTGCGTGAACATTTTGCTGTCGTATACTTAAAACGATATATTTATGTATGCACATTTATATGTAAACACTAACATTGTATGTACATATGTATGTTCACAAGTGGGAAGCTAAAATAATAAAAACTCAGACATATACTGTAGTTAATCAAATTACCAGAGAATACCAGAAGAGCTATTAAGTAATGTATAATTTTCAATGCCTTTCCAGGTGAATTCTATCTGTGCCACAAGTTGTACAGATTTTGCTTCATATTTCTCTACCGCCTATTTTATTATTCATCATTTTTTCTGTTATGTTAAGTAGCCTAGTAAGGAATGAATTATTATCTTCATTAAACAACTTAACGTTCAAGTATAGGAGTGTTATTGAGGCAAGAAAATATGACACTTCAATATCTATTTCTGCTAATTAATACGTGAAGCTGGTGAAGACTGATGAACTAAATTGAATTTTTCATTACTTATATTAATAAATAGACTTAAAATGAATTTTAAGCAAAGATGGATAGTGGCTAGCAGTGGAATCTAGGACGCGCGTTTCGTCCTATTTGGGACTCGTCGACTGGGTGTACCTTCATCCCATATTTGATGTTTACTCCAGAACTCGAACCTAGTACCGTTCGCTTCAAACACCATCACGTTATCCACTTAGCTACTGGTTCCTGATAGCAATGGAGTGAAGTTTAAACTCATTTGGTGTTGTTTACTTGAATTTTCCTATTGTTGTTAAGGACTGCAATTGATCAATCTCTTGTTGGCGTATATGCATCCTGTGTGGATTGACTCGTTACTGAATTTATTTATTACGAGGATTAATATCAGCTTCTACTATTTCAGTGATAAGTGATAAATTCAATGATTATTGAGGCCGTAATATACATCAAATAAACTAATAAAATATTTGTTACTTATATCATAGTTACAAACACTCTTCCCACATACACTGAATCTTCTAAAATCAAGCATAATACTATATTCCAGGTAATAAGTAGTTAAAGAAAATCTTCAAATTCAATGGTTTGAATTATTTTTTCTGGTTAGCAATTTTTTTAGCGAGTTAGTTTTGTACGAGACGGGATTGCTAACTCCATGCCCAACCCTCCTACTTTACCCAAGCTTGAGACTGCTAGTAGCCCAGGAGGAGCTCCAGGTAGAATTCAATTCAATGAATCCATATAATTTTGATATGAATGTAAATCTTGATTTATTTTAATGAATAAATGAGAAACTAATATGTTTATTCTTTTTATTCATTAGATTTATCCACATTTAAATGCAAGTATCATATCGGAATTAGATACACTATTGAATACAACTGACTCAAATGATAATTTCCTTTAAAACAAAAATATCATAAATTGAATTAATAAATATTATAATTAACAATTAAAACAAGAGGAAATAATAATATTTTACTCAATTTAAAAAAACACAAAAAAACCAATCACGGTTAGCAACTAAATGGGGAGGAGGAGCAGAAGCAGAAAAATGGATAAACAATTGTCAGTCATTTTTACATGATTAATAAATTCAATCAAACTACTTTGAATAAAATCCTTTTACTATAAATATAAATTGAAATAGTCACTTTGAAAGTTTATATAAGTTTTAATAGAATGATTTGTTTTATTAATGTTTATCTAAAATGTTATGATGTTTTAGATGAGTAACGGTGAAATTTACATTTTAAAACAAACTACCTTGTAGTGTGTTTAGTTTTTGGAAAGAAACTTAGTTATAAAATAAAAGACTAGAGGAAAATACGTGTTTGAATATCTAAACAATTATATATATTATCAGAAGGGGTTTTGTGGAGATTTTAAAAATTTCACTGATTGAAATCACGAGTCAGTTAAAGTTAGACCACCATGGAAAACCTGGAAGCACTGGACGGCCGTTTCGTTCTATTGTAGGAGTCCTCAGACTGATTAGTCCTGGGTTCGAATCTCACGATACGTAATCGTAGATGCGCACTGCTGAGGAGACGCACAATAGGGCGAAACGGCCGTCCAGTGCTTCCAGGTTTTCCATGCTGGTCTAGCTTCAATTGACTCATGATTTCAATCAGTGAAAGTATATATATATATATATATATATATTAGGATATATTGATGGTTTGATATATACACTATATATATATGCCTGCAAGTACAAAGTGTTTTAGTGGCCCTGTATCTAACCACAGTTAGATGGTTACTAATTGTTATTGAAGTATACACGTTACTAATTCTCGTATATAATTATCAACTTAACTAGAGTTTGTGAATAGCAGAATTGAATAAGTTAAATTTGAGAATGAAGTTTGAATAGGTATATTTTGAACAACCGTTGATCAAAATGCGAAGCAAAATGAAATGACACATGGTGGAGAAAGCGAATGAGTCAACTTGTTTTTATCAAGCGTAACTCCACATTTGTAGTCAGGCAAAAATACGTTATGAACACATGATGAATAGATCAAGTAATTTGCACACATCATATTAAAACAGTTAGAGTAATTAAGCGAATAAACGGCTTGAGAATAATGAATAGATTGGTCTGTCCAGAGGCTAGAATAACCTAAATGAGGTTGACATAGGACCAGCCCCTACAATGTTATTTCAAAAAAAAATATGATGACTTTTCAAGGTACGCTTTTGGAGAATAATGCTCATAACTCAAACTGTCTGGCTATAAAGAATTTGTACCAATGATATGTATAACATATGATTCAATGAACTATACTGCTTAGTATTTATTGAAGAGGCAGATTATTTAATAGAAAATCAAACATTGTGATTGAATCACAAAAGCTCTGTACCTTACATAACATAAAACGTTAGAATAAAACTTTTGTATTTTTACTTTTAAATCAACCTTCAAAAAGATGGAATGAACTCAAAACATTTGTAGCATTGACACAATTTGCAAACGATTTAAGCAATCCAACAGTACTCTATAAAACAGCTAATAATTTTAAATGATTTCCATGCTGGGAACATTATTTTATGCCAAAGGTTTACGGTTATTTTTAACCAGATACAAAGTGGATTTCATGAAAAAACAAGTTTTGTTTTACCTTCAAATACAGTATAAAATTATATTATGGAAGGCTTCATAATATTTGGAAGCCTCTTGTAACTATTTCAATAAATGACAAATTGTTTCACTATTAAAAAGAAAGACAACATGTTTCATTTTAGTATGTCTAGTATGGTTAAGTGTTAGCTAGCTTAAAACCATTTGCATTTATCAATAAACCTCATTATGATAATTAGTCAATCAGTCAGTTACAACGTAGGACCAAGCACATATATGCATTGGTCCAAGGTGCCATACCTCATTAGTACAGCAAGATGAACACTGGATTCATAGAAGCAGTTAACTCATTGGTGGTAATATATAAAAGAAAGATTTTGTATAAGGATATAGTACAGGAAGAAAGAATTAGTTCATAGAAAGAAAGATATGAAGCGATTTTAATCTCACAGTTCAATGGAAGGCAAAATGTATATACACCTACACCATTGTGATTGATTAGGAGCCACATCATTCAGTCTCCAACGATTGGTTACGATAGTCACGCGGACCCAAATCAATTAGTCTGCATCTACCAACATGGCTCAGACCAGAAGTCGGTGACTTCAAGGAGTGATGCCACGTTTTGGTTTGGCCGCCCCTAACTTTCTTTCATCCGTCTCCAACACTAGTCAGTATTGCGCGTCCTGGAAACCGGTGTTCAGGCATACATAACACGTGGTCCAGTCATATCAGTCGGTATAGATTCACAACCTCATCAACTGATTTAACATCATTCTCTAATATCCTGCGTCTAACCGACCTTTTTTGCTACCTTGATGCGGTGATCGGCCTTGCATATCGCGATGAAGCAATCGAGCTATACCGGCTGGAACGATTGTTCTTCAAGGTTCTACCACGCCAGACTGGTCGGATGAAGAACGGTTAGACTAAAAGCAACAAACCCAAGGTCCGAAGGCGAAGTCGTACTGCTGGCTATACAGAAGTGCGACGGCAGTAAGATGTTTCCTTCAGACAACCAGAATAACAGCGACGCTGCCCTCCCACAAGGAGGAGTGGGGTTGCAAAACGTCAACTCTTGAAAATTCACACCTCACCTTATCCTACGGATATCCTTCTTCTGCGCTATGGTCTCAACAAGTACGGAGCTAACATGAAAATTACTTACTAAAGAGTCTCATGTGACAGACCTCAAGCAATTGTCCCTTGGGCTCTGTGGTCAGGCTCTCAGGTCACTAAGACCACCTCTAATACCATTTCCTTTCCACGTACTTTAAGAAGAACCCTTCCATGGTGTGAGCAGTTGGGAAGTGATAACCGCCCTCACACCTCAAACAGCACTCAAGACCATTGTATTCATAATCATAAATATATACAGCTACGTGTCATGAATACGCCTATATATTTTATTTGTTACAGCATAACTGAATTACAAATCTATTCTTATGAGAATGTAACACTAAACAGAATACATAAAGTAAAATTATTAGTATAGGGTTATGGAAATTGTTGAGTTTTGATTAAGACATGGATGGATTAGTATTTGGTCACCAAAGAAAACCTGGAATCACTAGATGGTCGTTTCGTCCTAGTACGGGACTCCTCAGCAATGCATATCCACGACATTAACACCACTGGCTGTCAGTTCAGTAGTCTAGATGTTAAGAGTTCATGCGCGAGACTGATAGGTCCTAAATTCGAATCTCGTAAGTGGAGTTGTCAATGCGCACGGCTGATGAGTCTCATACTATGACGAAACTACCATCAAGTGTTTCTAGGTTTTTAGTGATGGTCTAACATTGGTCTATACGTTATCTCAACCAAAATAAAATTAGCCTACAAAATGTTGACCTAGATTCGTCAAAAAAATAAGAAACTGCCAGATGTTAAGACTTTCACTCTTTTCGTTTCTCTTTTTTTGGAAATAAAATTCTTTTCAATGTAAAGACAATTCAGCTGTAAATATTTCTGCCAAAAAAATTACATCATTGATTTAAATGGACTTATGTTAGATTCTTTTTTTAAATTTATTTTCACAGTTGAAATAATTGCAAATTTTTATATCATTTCAAAAATTCTTCTTTTCGTTTATCGATTGTTACCATGGATAATTTTGTAAGATGTTTGTTATATTTTATAAATCCATGTTAATTTGTAACTTTCGTTGATATTTCACTGATATCAATCAGCATATGCTCACTAGTGACTGGCTTCAAAGAGTTATTTCTTTGGGTTTTCACAAGAAGCAGTGACCAGCAGTGTTCAACCGGATCTGCTGTGTGATATTAACTCAATTAAGACAATGGTGGATGTGTCGCTCAATTTCGTAGATTAACTGAAGCTAGACATTAACATTGCTGGATGCCGGGCAGCTCAATGGTCTAGAGGTTGAGCGTTCGCGCGTGAGACCGATAGGTCCAGGATTCGAATCCCGCGAGGCGGGACCGCGAATGCGTGCTGCTGAAGAGTCTTATACTAGGACGAAACGGCCATCCAGTGTTTCCAGGTTTTCCATGGTGGTCTAGCTTCAATTGACTCATATTCTTAACTATTCAAATTTCATTGAATTAAATTGAATTTTTCTGGTAAATTTTCTTTACACTGATCAGTATTAATAGTATAACTGATATAGACTAAACATAAAATTTGAAAGACCATGAATGGTGGAATTAATTTTGTATTATATCTAGAGCTTAGATACTTGATATACCACGTACAACTCCAGCACTCGAATGCTAGAACCTTCCAAGTAGTAAATTAGAAAACAAAAGACAAGTCAAAGAAATGTTATTCCAATCAGTGTCAGATATGGTACAACACTCTGAGGTATTTATAGTTTTTAGTAAAAACGAAATCATCATTATAGTCACACAATCTGCATACAGAGGCTTTAACATCGTCTAATAGGTAAACTACAGGTGGAGATTCTAGAATATTCTTCAGCTCTTTCTGAGCTTCTTAGAGCCTCCTTGAGTTCACCCGTGAGCCGTCCTCACAATTTGAAATAAAAGCAAAACTTAAATGAGAAAAACATCATTTTTTTAAAATAATAAATCTATTTTCTGTTATATCCCAATGAGTAGAAGAGTTGTATCTCTGATGTTTCATGACTTAATGTAAGCCACTTCTTCAGAGCACATAAATAATCGAATTAAATTAACACAAGTTTAAATAGTACAAAGGAAACGATACAGAATTTATTTGGTACAATCAAAATCATAATAGGTCTGAATATATCAATACGCACTGCTGAGGAGTCCCATATTAGGACGAAACGGCCGTCCAGTGCTTCCAGGTTTTCCATGGTGGTCTAGCTTCAATTG